GGGTAATGGTGACGTCACATCCGCCCACTGGGACATTCCCTTTCCATGTAGCCGTCTTTTGTTCATTTGTTTTTTGCTATTTAACTGTTTTGCTGCTTGCAGTTTTGTCTTAGCACTTGTACAAGTGTTTCCGAACGGTCAATTTTTTTTTAGATGTATATTTGTTTCACTATAATGTATTTTTTTTTTCTCTAAAATGAAACTCTCTCCTCTAAAATCTAACTTATTTAAAATTGTGAATTTGTTTCCTAAAATGTAAATTTGTTTGATAAAATGTAAGTTTTTAAAAATGTTAACTTTTTTTTCAAAAATACATTTGTTTCATAAAATCTAATTTTGTTTCTTCAAATGTTATTTTGTTTTTTATTTGTTAGTGTGTTTTTGAATTGTAAATGTGTTTTGCACTTCTCAGCCACCGTAGATTTGGACTTAATTACTTTACCTGAATATCTACAGTTGAAATCCAAAGCACGTACAAAGTTACAGATGTTGTTATGCCATGATCCATCAGTGAGCCTGATGAGGTACTCTCAATTGGTGTGGATGACGTTGCTTGTTGAACACTGAATATTTCACTGGCCATTTCATCTTGTCCGACAAAGTCAAACAAGAACTTTAAAAAAAGGGTAATGCAATTTTAGTTACTTTAAAAAAAAAATAAAAAAAATCATATACAATCTCTGAATTAACACATTACCTGAATTGGATCAGACACATTGAATGTTCTCTTTGTGATAAATCCATTTGGATATTTGAACTTCAAAAGCAGTCCAGTTGAGGGTTCTTCATGTACCGCCAGTCTTTGCCGGCGTTCTTCAATTGCCTAAAACATGAGCACTAAAGCTTTTTGGGAATTCATAAGCAACTATCATCCTAACAATGTAACAGTTCTAACCTTTATGCGTCTTTCCTCCAAGGCCTTGTAACACTGTCTTCTCCTTTCCTGGTAGAAAAAAAAATTGTGAGTAACAACAACAGCAACAACAAATCATGATATCAAAAATGGTAATTCACTTTTTCTTGGTCTGCTAACAAAGACTCTTCATAGTCTTTGTCTTGCTGGGACCGCAGAGATCGCCAATCTAGAAGTGTCTATTGTGAATACAGCACAGAGATTGTTAAAGTCAACATCAGAAATGAGATAAAAAATGTAAAATGCATATATTGTTCTTGAAATGAATGACCTGCTCTTCCCCCAAATTTCCGGTGGTCCTCTCAACCTCTGGAGAGATATTCTGTACTTCTGGTGCAGTTGAGGGTTCTGGAAACAAGGTCCTGGACATTGCTGCTGTTGAGTAGGTTTCCTAGACATGGCAAAGACATTTCAAATTATGATGGAATACAAAATGGTGGATACATCAAATTATTTTTGTGTACAAAAAAAAATATACCTGTGACACATCTGCTCGTGGTAGAATGTAGAGTCTGCTTTTGCCAACCTTTTCCTTCAGCTCCCTCACAGAATTCACCTGTAATTTTTTTACCTTTCGTCCTTTTCCAGCTCTTGCCAGTTCAAAGCCAACCAGATTTAGGCTAATGTGTGGGTAGCTTTGACACACAAAGTTGTTCAGTTCAGACAAGCTCCAATTCAGGTTAATTTTAGAGCTCCTGGTTTCTGTCCCCTCATGCACAGGGTTGCCTGAATAATCAAGGGTGACAAAACAATGTTAAACACAATACCAAAGACCACACCAATTAAGTTTAAATTAGTGCTGTCAGTTTTAAAACGTTAATACGTAAACTTTTTTTTCCCCACCCATCTCTCCAGACTGTTTTTTACACTCTGTGCTTTCCGTAGTTTCAAGAACACTAGAGACTAGAGCAAAACTTACCCATGCTCACTGTTGCCAACACTGTATTTCATGCAACTTTGGGCTTCTTTTTTCTAAAGTTGTTTTTAAAATTCACATTAATTTGCACATTGTGTTGACATCAGGGCATCATGATTAATGATGTAGCCATTATAGGCAACAGTTTAACATTTTATGGTACCAATTATCCATTTTTCCATTTTCCATTATCCCAGTTATGAAAATTGCCAGAAAAGTGCTTGAAAAATAAAAAATGCAAATATGTTTTGTATAAGCATGTTTTTTATTAGTATTATTTTTTGAAAAATTGCACATTAAAATGTCCAGACAGGCTACTACACTTTCAGAAATAAAAGGATTAAATATGTAATTAATCTCAAGTTAACAATTGAAATTATGTGATTGATTTTGATATAAAATTTTAATCGTTTGATAGCCCTAGTTTAAATTCATCAGCCCACCAGATAACTCTGGTGAAAGACTAAAATTATGAATTACAACCCAAATAGAGATGTTAAAAGCAAAAGTAACTCCGTCTGTCACATTATGAGGGTGTATGAAATAATGTAATTTTTTGAAAACATATGCCCACCTAATCCATGGTTCTTCAGTCTTTGTACATCCGAGGGAGAAGGGAGAACGTCAATATTAGGGCCAGAAAGCAAGAAAATGTTTGTCTTCCATACAGGGCTTGGCAGCCTCCCAACCGAACCTGCAGTGAACACAACAGAATCACACCATTGATCCAACATAGAGGATAAATGATATCCTATAATCAAGTGTGCCAACTGGGGTTGCCACTTTCCATAACTTTCACTAAGGAACGCCCACCATGGTTTCTCAGGTAGATATTGAAAATTGTGCAATTGCCAAAGTAAACCACATTATTTGTTACCGGTATGTGTTTTTTGGTAATGAGGTGATCAACAAAATTACTCATACATTAAAAAAAAAAAAAAATGTCAATGAAGAACTTACCGAGAGAAACTGGTGTATATAAGGTGCTTTTAAGTAACACAAAAAGTAGGGTTGCCAACCGTCCCTTGAAAAAAGGAATCATTCCATATTTAAAAATCAAAGTACCTTTCCTGTATTTAGTGTAAAAGAAACACTTTATCCCGTATTACTGTGGGAGTAAAAATTGTAAAAAGCTAATGGAAAATGAACAAGGGCACATTGGATACAAAAATTATGCTAAACTTGTTCCCCTCCCTGTTCTGCATTGTGACCAATGAGCTGACAGCATACATGTAATGATACAGAATCCCCTCATCCCATTGGTCGAGCCAAGTTTTGCTCACGGAGAAGATAGCGGGAGCAGTATGGGGGACGAAGGAGTCCTGTAAATGCCAATGCTGCTTCTGGGGGCGGTGCACCTTCGCACAGCGATACCCCTCAGCATCCCATCTTCCACTGGTTTTATGGAGAGGATTTTTATCCTTAATGAAGAACAAATGGACTGATGTGCAGAACAAATGTTCCAAGAATTAATTAAAGCTGAGCTCATTGTCAATTATGAACTTTCCTGCTCAGAGTTTTACTCTGCAGCACTGAAAGACAACTCACTGCTGCAAGTGCTCAGAGGAAATACAAGTGGATAAAGTATGCCATCACCACATTATGTGCCATTGAGCTAATTATTATTATTTTTTTTTTTTTCAGTTTTACAACTGAAGTCTACGGTCATTGAATTTAAGGCACAAATATGTTTAAAAGTCTGAAGAAGTTTACTGTTGCACCAAAAATGCACACTATTTATTTATTGTTTTATATTCATTTTTACAGTTTGAAGTTAAGCAGGACATGCATGTTTAAGATACTTATTTTATTCAGCAAATTTTGTTATTTTGTATTAAAGTGTATTGCTGGATAATAATTTGTTTTTCCATGTGTTCATGTCACTCACAAATAAGCATTTAATTCAATGCAGATTTTAGTCAAATAGTAAAAACAAATATTTTCACGCACAAAGGGGGGATAAAACAAAATCCCCACACCAGGAGGGGTGAAGGCAAGCAGGTCAGCTGGCATACCATAAGGTGTCCCTTTTTTCTTTTTTTTTCCCCCCAGGGAGTTGGCAACCCTAGCAACAAGACATCACCATTTTGAATAAGGTGCTTATAGAAGTTTTACAAATCAAATTAAAAAAATATGTAGATAATCAAAATTGTGAAATTAAAATGTGAAAGCCAATAATTACATTTTTCATAATGAACAAAGACTGCGATGGAGTTGCAACATGTCAAAGGTGTACCCTGCGTATCGCCTGTTGCTGGTGCAAAATGAGGAACAAATGAAATACTCCCACATCGCTTCAATACTGGAGTATTCCATATTTTATAGACAATTCCATATTTTATTTTAATAGGGCGGATGCCAACTCCAGGCTGCTTCAAGTTTCCTAATTAATATTTTCATTATTCCACTAGCACTAAGCTAACTTTGCCAGGAAAGTTACAGTTATATGAACCGACATCTGAACATCTACTTACCTTGACTTCTCTGCACTTGACGTCGAAAAAGTCTCCTTGTTGCAGAGAATAAATTCTCCGTATTTCTTAATTCATGTCGAGCACGAGTTGCAGCACTGAATATAGTGTTAAAAACACGAGCATTTGAGGCGGACTGACCTGACATTGCGGACCACTGAATAGCCGAATCAATTAGCTAGCATGACTAACACCTGTCCGCCAAAATGCTACGCAAATCTCAGACGTTTTTGATGTATGGCTATGGCAAGATATCACTGATGTTATTTTGACTAGTCAGAATGTCAATTTAAGATATCTTTAATGGAAAAGCTGAATAATTCAAGATATCTTTAATTCATTTAGAGATATCTTAAAAGGAATTTCGAATAGTCGAAATTACAATTCAAGATATCTTTAAATTAGTTTTGTCTAGTCATTATTTGCTTTTAAGAT